TCCTGTCAGCGCACCAAACTTCTCTCCACCACCGCCGCCTGTCTGAGGTTGCGGCGGACCCCCTGCGGGGCGACGCTCCTCAACCTCCTCCACTCCTCCTGCTGCCAGGGGGCGCAGCTGGGCGCGGTGAGCATTCTCCCAGTAGGCGTTGTCCGCAGTCTTGACCAGGCGTTCGAAGATGACCGTCTTGAAGTATCCGTCGGGGTCCTCCACTTCGAACGTAGCGGGGAGTGTCAGCAACGGTGGTCCCTCCGGCGTCGGCGTCCGAGCGGCGAAGATGAAGTCCTCTTTCCTCATCAGCTCCTTGTTGCAGTAGCGCTGCACCTCCTTCGCCTTCCATCGAAGCTCCTCCCGCCACCGCCCGTTCAGCTCCTCCCAGGCATCCTGGACGAAACGAGCGGTGTACTTCCGCGGCTTTGCCTCGTGCTGTCTGATGAGGTAGTCCAGGGCCTCGCTCCTCTCGTCCCAGTGCCCGGCCCCATATGCCAAACACATGGCCCAGATGCCGTTGCGAGCCTGGCGTGCCCACTTCAGCATGTCCACGGGCTGCTTCGGGCGGGGTTCGATCTTGTACTCCGTCGTGGGTACGTAATCGTCGAACAGTTCCTCTGGGCAGGTTACCCAGTCCGCCACACTGAGCGCATGCGCGGCCAGCGTCTCCACTGACTTGCCTCCCCACGACCCCGACGCGATGCCGAAGCCAATCCTGTAGTTGATCAGGGTGGGCCAGCGATGGTGCTTGAACAACGCCGAGGAGTGCTCCGCCATGCGCAAGAGTGCCTTGACGAGTGCACGACCCAGGTCGTCCGGGCAGATAGCCACCCGGAATCTCCCGCACCCGCGCGCCGCCAGCACAAGCAGTTCGTGGTCTTCCGTGATCGACTGGAGGGTGCCCATCTTTCCCGCCGCCGCGTCTTCCGCCCGCTTATTCGTCAAGTCGAGGTTGTACGCGATATCGGCCATAACCTTCACCATGCCCTCGTTGTGCTTCCCCTCTGGATCGCCTAGGGCACCCGCCGACCTGCGTACCTTCTCCGATGGGCCGTACTCCTCCTCGTCGAAACTCACTCGCGATCTCCTTGCAGGAACTCCAAAGGTAGGACCAGCCCTGTGTGTGAATAGATCCATCGGCGGCGGAGTGGGGTCCTGCCCTGGCCGGCCCGACGGCGGACCTCGGCCCAGCTCTGCCCGCACGGTGCTGCCCCGCAGGTCGACACCTTGCGCCCCCAGGTCGGTCGCCCGCCGCTTGGGTTCCCACCCTCGGGTGTCACCCCTTTCCTCCCTGGCGGGTCGGCTGGACTCGAGCGTCCGTCCCAGTCCTGGAGGCGTCTCCACCGCCGCCGGGCGTGCCGTGGGGGGCGTGGACGGACGCGCTGGACCAGGGACCGGCCGTGCCAGCCCCTCCCGCCAAGCTCCTCCCGCCACCTCCTCCTCATGCGCCTGGATCAAGCCGCGCCTCTCCCTCAGCACCTCGGCCAGCTGCCTCAGGTTTTCCACCTCGTCGTCCGACATGAAAGCGCCGCGGTCCCTCTCCAAGGCTTCGAGTGACTCGACGATAGCGTCGCACGCGTCTCCCAGATCGTCGAAACCTTCGGTGTGCTGATATCTCTCGGCCACGTCCAACGGGTGTTCCTCTCCGCTCGCCCGCGCCTTCAGAAACTCCAGGGCCAAGGCCGCCTCACCTCGGCGACGCCACCGCTCCCGAGCCGCCCCATTCAGGAGACCTCCCGGCTCTCCTCGGGTTAGCGTGTCTTTCCACGGCGGCTGTGTCGGGTCTGTCGGGGGACTCGGGAACGGCATCCTCCGAGGGTAGGTGTCATTTCGCCCTCCTGCACCCTCGATCCCTCGCGTCAGGTTGCACAAGGGGTGGTCCTCCCTCCCTGTCGCGCCACGCGCCAGCGCCAACACTACTGGGCTTGCTGTCCTGCCGAACTCGTCCATCCCGTCGGGTATCTGGTTCACCGTCCGCACTATGATGGCTGGCGCTCCTTCGGCCACAGCCTCAGCCTGCACACGCTCGTCAATCACCGGCCCCAGGTTGGACGGGACGGTGACCTGGGCGTCAAGTCCCTGGATGCGGTACGTAGTCCAACCCTCCTCCTCGGCCGTCAGCTGGCACCCGTAGCAATAGTACTTCTTGGCCATCTCCGTGCCCTGGGGGCCCCGCACCATGGCCGTTAGCCATGCTCCGCTGGCCGATACCAAGGGTATGATGGCCCGCCCAGCCGACGGTGTAGGCGATCTCGACCGGAGCCGATGGGGCTGCTCGGACGCAATCCCCGCCACCACAGGCGCCGGTCTGTCAGCAGCAGCGGCGAGACGAGTGGCGTCCTCCGTCGCCAGGTCGTGCTCCGAACACGTCAACACCCCGCGGTTCAGGACCCGACCCAACGCATGGCAGCCGAGATGCGCGCACTTCTTCACTCCTCTCTCGCGCTCGTAGGCGTTCGTATGCTGCCAGCACAAGTTGACCGCCTTCTCTGCCCCCTTGGCGTTTGACTTCTCCCCGTCCTCTGTGACCAAGCGAACGGGGGCACCTCGGGCTCGATCTCGACACTTCTCCTTGCACAGCTGGAATATCGTGTCTCCCTCCTGGTACAGCACCTCGTGGGCCATACAGCGCTGGTGCTCCGGCTCTGACTCCGTCTCCGAGTTCGGATCCTTCAGCAGGGCAGCTGGGGTGTCCGCCTTGCTCCACCGGCCACGCTGGCAGCCCCTCTGGCCGCAGCGCTTGAGGGACCCGCAGAGCCTGGCACAACCCTTCAACCCCACGGCTGCGCAGCCCCGCCCACACGACGCAGCAGCAGCTCCCACTGCCCGCCCGGCCCAACAAGGCTTCGGCGCCGCCTCCACCAGTGCCTCAAAGTTGGTGTCCGTCTCCGCGGTCACGTACCCGTACGCGGGGGCATGTACGGCGTAGTTGCCATCGTCCGTGCACGGCGTGTCCCTACACAGGTGGACCACCTTGTCCTGGGAGTCCTCCAGCAGGTCCCGCAGTCGCCGCGACGTGGTCGCGAGCACCTCGCGGTACGGCCACGCCACTCCTGCCTTCTTGTACTTGATCCCCGTATTCAAAGGCGGCCTCTCCAGCCTCGCAGCCGTATCACCCACCTGAATGATCAGGTGATGTTGATGTGGCACCTTGTCGGGCCCCTTCGCGCGGAGCTGGGCGTAGAACTCGTTCTCCACAGCGGTGGCGGTGGCCGGCCCTCGCAGCTCTGGTACCACTCCTTCCTCGGTGGATGCAACCTGTAGCTTCGCCTTTGGATAACACAGTCCCAGCGCCCGCCCCAAGCACCGAAGTGGGGAGCAGATCAGCACGTCGACTGCCGAAGCGATGGAGTGGAGACCGTACCCCAAGCCGATGACGAGCGCCACGATCAAACCTGCGAATGTTGTCCAGCACAGCACGGGCCACCCGGTGCCGAAGGCCGCGTAGCCCACCGTGTTGAGCCCACTCCCGACCAGCCCGCCCCCGCTCCACATCAAGTCCGACCACTGCATCTCTGTCGGCGGCAAGTCTGTGATCCAGCCCCCGAGCCAGCTCACTCCGAACTTGACCCCCCCGAAGCTAAACCAGCCTCGCATCTCTCCCTCCTCCTCTTCCTGGTCACCAGCTTCCTCGGGACTCTCCCGCGTCGGGGGGTCCCGCCGACGGCCTGTGAACCAGCTCCACATCTCGCCTTCACGCCGACGCGAGCTCTCCTCACCTCCTCCGCCCGCCGGCGAGGGTGAGGCCTCCAGGGGCGGCGGGGCCGATGCCGATGCCGTAGGGGGCTGCTGGCGCCCCTTGCCTCCCGAGGGCGAGCTCGCCGCCGGCCCCGGGGGGGATCCTCGCCCCTTCCCGGCGGCGGGCGCTGGCCCAGCTGGGGGGGCGACTCGGCGTTGCGGCCCCTCTGTGGCCGCCGCCGTGCTGCGGCGCCGCTGGTCGTCCTCCAGCGCCCGCAGCAGAGGCGCGTACGCCCCTCCACTGGCTGTCTCCATCTCGGCCGGCATCGAAGCGCCTGTGCCGCGGGCCGCTGACGGCAAGGCAGGCGTCGCGGGCTGCCCTCGCCACCGGCGGCCGATCTCCGCCGCGGCCACTGCCCCGATGATCATGGGCAGCAGGGCCATCATGCGGGGGCGAGCCCACCTCTGGGCAGTTCCTCCCCCTGCGGCCGCCTCCGCCGGCCTGCCACGGCAGGCGACTGTGCTCCTCACCGCATGGCACTCGAACCCTGTGCGGCTCTGGCCGCAGGGCGGGCCGCGCCCCCGCGCGGGGCCGCCCCCTCAAGGGCCCGAGAAAAAGCTTGAGCCCCAAACGGGCCGCAGAGAGGGGAAAGGGACAGAGGACAGAGAGAGGGTACCCTTCCCCCTCACCAGGCACTTGCTCCCTGAAACCTTACGTTCTACGCACGCTCGAACTCTCATTCCTCCTCCTCCTCCTCCTCCTCCTCCTCCTCCGGTCCTGTCCTCGTACTCCTGTACTCCTGCTCCGCACCTCCTACCTCCTAACTACTACTATCCTGTGACGACTGTTAGTGCCGCCTCCGTAGTCTCCTCCTCCTCCCTCCTCTGTCCTCCTCCTAGTTCTCCTTTCCTCCCTCTTTCTCCTCTCCTCCTCCTCTCGTCCTCATCCTCGTCCTCCTCCTCCTCCTCTTCCTCCTCCCCTTTCCCCTGCTCCTCCTCCTCCTCATGTTCCGCCTCTCGTTTTCTCCTCCTCCTCCTCCTCATCCTCCTCCTCCTTCTCCTTCCCTTCTCCTATCCCCCTCCCCTCCTCCTCATAATCCTCCTCCTCCTCCTCCTCCTCCCCCCCTCCTCCTCCTCACTTTCTCCTCCTCCTCCTCATCTCTTCCTGGCTCCTCCTCCTTCTCCTCCTTCCTCATCTTCCTCCTCCTCCTCTTCCTCCTCCTCCTCCACCTCCTCCACCTGCTCCTCCACCTGCTCCTCCTCCACCTCATCCTCCTCCTCATCCTCCTCCTCCTCCTGCTCCTCCCCTTCCTCCTCCCCCCGACTCGAAGGTGCCACGCGCTGCTCATCATCAACCTGGGTGCCGCCCTCGGCCGCGAGCAGAGTCCAGGGGGGGTCCGCGCGGGGCCGCCAGGTCCTGATGCCGGGCCCCGGCAGGGCACCCGCTCGGCATGGAGAGACAGGAGAAAGACGCCTACTCGACCAACGTCCAATGACTGTTCCTGAGTATTCCCCCTGTAGAAGAACACGCCCGACTGAATGCGACCCGTTTCTCGCGCCATTTCTGCTCCAACGAGCGGAGCCGAGGCAGAGCGTTCGTGGTCGCCTTGGCTCGTTGTCCGAGGTATGGCGGGCGCCGCGGGGGGTGCGCAGGTCGCCCTCGCCCTCGCCCCCGGCTGCGTGGATCGGAGGAGGACCGGATGAGACGAGGGTCAGGTCGGACATGTCCCCCTGCTCCAAGTTCCCCAATGAGTGCTTGCACTGAAAGGGTCCTAGCGGAAGTTGGAAAATTTGGCGAAGGTTTCCCGCCGAGTTTGGTAGTAGGCTGGGTTCCCGGGTTCCCGGTTCCGGGTTCCGGGGTTCCCCGTCATTGGTTCCGGGCCGATTTCGATGGGTTTTGGGTTCCCGGGCCCCCGGGTTCCCAGTCGATTTCCTCAGCGAAAACCATCCACTGATTTCGGTGTTTTTGGTGTCATGTATTCACTGTTTTGCCGATCGGCTCGGGCCCTAAAACCCCCCTCCCCCCATGGAGTAGATCAAGGCTGTTTTTTGGCGCCTGCTTCGAGCGGGTAAGTCGCACTAAGCAGAGGTCTGGAGCCAGGCCCCCCCCTCTCCCCCGCTTGCCGCCCACTGTCGAAACGCCGAATAAAAAAAAAACGATTGCAATTGACTCGAAGAGAGAAAAAAAGACAAATAAAAAACAAGCACAAAAAGCGCCATAAACATAAATTTTCGGCGCTCCGCGCGGATTTCCTGGGTCGGCGCCTGGGCCCCCCCCCCCGGCGGTGCCCCTGGCGCCGCCCTTGGCGCGCTCCGCGCGCCAGGGAGGGGACCCCAGCGCAGATCCGAGAGATCCGCGCGGAGCGTCGAACGCTTATGCTCGTGCCGTGTTCTCTCTTCTTCTAAACCAGGAGGGAGACGCCCATTCGTCCAAAAACCAAACCCCGCCTTACCCCGCCTTCGACCCGCTGGGTCGCAGGTGGGTCTCGGGTGGTCGTCGGACCCTGGTGTGTCCAGCTCTCGGCTCGGGCTGCCAAGGCGCTGCGCGCATCCGCTTGCCTACAGCTCTGGGATCCTGCGATTCCCGATGCAGTCAACGTCTTGCCACAACGATCCTTGAATTGAGAACGGAGCCCCTCTTCGGGCCACAGATGCGCCCAGATTTGCAAGGAGCGCCCGTCGAAAATCTAAAGGCCGTCGCAGGTGGGTCTTATGTGGTGTGGTGCCGTACACCCCGTGCGAAACGCAACTGCCGTGTAAGCCGTTTTGGGGGGAATTTTGAGCGTTCTTGGGGGGCCTCCAACATTCGAAGGTTCTTGGGATTCATGGGAATGCCCTTCTGGCTCCTCTGGCCACGGTTGCCGATCATCTCAGCATTTGTCTGGGCGATTTCGTCCGGGTGGGCGCCTTTCTCACCGAAGGCGAGGCTGATGTTTCTTGGGGCGTTGATGTTGGTTGGGAAATGCTTTCGGAGCTCTAAGTTTCCCTCGGTAAGTTTTCGGCCGCCGCCCGAAACCGCAGTTTTAAATCTTGGCAGGCGTGGTTCTTGGACGGCATAATTAAGAGAGGAAGGAGGGCCCATAGGTGGACCAGGGAGTGTAAGCCGTGGGCTCCGACAACGACGCTGTCGAAGCACGGCCGCATCGTGTCAGACCCTCTCTTCCGTTTGGAGAGAGAGGCGGCCCGGTTTGCAGGGCTCTGGCAAGCGGACAAGGAGCCAGACGCCATCGACAAGCCGCTGGAGATCCTTGAGCCTCTCGATGCCCTCACGCCCGATGATATTCGTGGGGCTTGTCGCTCTTATTCCACCTCCACGGCCATCTCGGTGGTCGGGTTCCACATGCGCTGTTGCACCGGCATGTCCGGCGGCTGCCTGGAGGTGTTCAGTATTCTGCTCCAGCTGATTGTAGCCACGGGCCTTCTTCCATATCACGTGCAGGTGTTGCAGATGGCCCGTTTGGGCAAGCCCAAGGGGGGCTTCAGGCCCATCGTCCTTTTTAGTTCTGGGTACCGCCTGTGGGGGAGGGCCCGTCGAAAAAATGCGTCTTCGTGGGAGCTGACCAATTCTCGGAATTATCTGGCGGCCGCGGCCTCTAATGGGGCTTCAGTTGTGGCATGGAGGCAGGCGCTTCGCAGCGAGCTAGGCGCTTGCGAAGGCAAGGCGGCAGCTCTTGTGCTCTGGGACTTGTGCAAGTTCTGCGAAGGCATGCACTTGCCGCTGGTCGAGGCCAGGGCCAAGCAGCCAGGTTTTCCAGCGCAGATCGCGAGAGTGTGTATGACGGCCTATCGTGGAGCTAGGTTCTTAACGCTCTCTACTCTGTCCGTGGGGCCCTACTACGCGATAAATGGGATAGTTGCGGGTTGCTCGATGGCCGCGACCTTCGTGCGCATTTACCTGATACCTGTTATCGACCCGATCCCCATTCCTCGGACTGTTTTTGTTTCTGGACATCTACATCGACGATTATGGTCTTAGTTCTGTCGGAACGGCGTCGTCTGTAAGCATAGACCTTAAATCATCCACCTCAATGCTCATGACTGCATTCATAACGACATGAATTGTAGGGTTTCTGACGACAAACCTTCGGTCATTGATTCCACGCCGAAATTTGGCCAAAAACTCGTTCAGTTTTTGGGCCGGTTCTCTGGGGGCCCTGCCAAGGAGTCGGCGGTGAACTTGGGGATCGACTACACCGTGGGGAAGGCTAGACGCTCCAGAAACAATGCCAAGAAGTGGAAATCCAGGGTCAGATCCTTGAAATCCAGGGCGAAGCGATTCAGGAAATCCAGTGAGGCTCTTGGGAAGTGGTCTCGCAAGGTCTTCGTTGCAGGACCTTTAGCAGGAGTCGCTTCTGGAGCGGAGGTCCATGGCACCTCCGACCACGAGCTCAAGCTGCTGCGCCGTTCCTTCGGCAAGTGCGTCAAGCCCTCCGCACGCTCCCGCAGCCTCGCGTCGCTCACCATTCTAGAGCACGGCCCGTGCTACTACGCGGCGACGGCGCCGATTTCGAGATACGCGAAAGAGGTCAGGCTCACTGGAACCAGACAGTGCGAGTTTTCGGTCCCCTTCTCGGTTCTCAGGTCGCCCTGGGATTCGGCTTTTGGAGGTCCTCAGGCTTGCTGGAAGAAAATGTCTGGACCTCTTTCGGCGGTTAGGGCTTCCTTGTCAAGGATCGGGTGGAGCATGAGCGATGACACCACCATTGTCACTGACCAGCAGGTGTCATTAGGCCTGACCGACACTTCTCCCAGGATGCTCAAAATGTTTTTGAGGGAAAGTGCCATTCGTCATCTCGAGAAGCTTTCGGGAGTTGCTCTCGGCATGGGCTGGGACAGGGCCTGTTACGACATTGTCCTCCAGGAACTTGGGAAGGAAAAGTGGTCTCACTTTGAAAAGGGTTGTATTCGCAGTCTGGTCGGTGGAGCTTCTTGGGCGAATTTTAGGGCCGCAGATGCTGGCTACTTGCTCGACGACACGCTCTGTCCTTTGCGCGGTGCTGCTGACGATACTATGCACCACCGTTTGTGGAAATACCAGGCCGTTCGTGAGCGGCGGCTCAAAATAGTCGACGAAGAGGGCATCGCCCGCGCCGACGCCATCGCCCCAGAGAGCCCAGATGGGGATTTGTTCACCAAGGGCATCATTCAGCACCCCGGCGAGTCTGTACCAGGGCCCGTTGCTAGAAGCAGCATGTCCGCGCAGTGGGTACACGACCCAGACAGCACCTCCGTGGACATCCAAGGACATGAATTATTTGACGGTTGTGGCCCCAAGAGCCCCTTCAAGGAGATGTCAAGGGCTGGTTGGGGGGCGGTGGTATATAACGATCAACGGCAACTTTTGTGCACTCTTTCGGGCCCTGTTCCCGGTGTTCCCCCGCGAACCTCACAAGTTGGTGAGTTCTGCGGTTTACGGGCAACGAACGAGCTCCTTTGCGGACCCTCGAGGAGTTCTTTCGACTATGCCAACGCGGTCCTCGCGTTCGCGTTCTGCGGGCGAGCTTTTCTATAAGCAGAGCAAAGATCAGGCGGGCGAGGCGGCCAAGAGTGCTTGGAGCCATCCGAGTGCTTCGCCTAACGATTTGCAGGTGGTCGGCGATAAAGTTGCGGTCGCCCGCAAGGTCTGTGCCTTGGCCGCCCGTCTGATGCTGTTGTGGCCGAGAATCGATCTCGACAACGTTTCTCGGACTCCTCTTCCTTCTCGTCCCAAGGCTTCGGATTTAATTTGTATTTGTCACGAGTGGCTGTGGTGCCGCTCGTTCTGGAGATGCCAGCGCTGTTTGAAGAGCCGACGTTGTGAGCCGAGACCTCCGGTCGTGAACTGTTCGGGTAAGCTGCTTGCGGTTGCCCTCGCGATTGGTCAGCGCGAGCACTCGCTAAAGGTTTTCTCTTGCACCGACGGTACGTTGCTATACGCCTGCTCCACATGCAAGGCGTATACAACTGGAGGCCAGTTCCGAAATCCTGCCAAATATTGTCTCACGGTTGCTGGACGTAAGAACGGTTTTTCTTTTTTGCCGTTGCAGCTTGTGACAGTCTCAAGGGGAAAGCGTCTCAGGTTGGCCCACGTACAGGTGGAGCCGTTGATTTTCTCGTTCGCTTGATTGTGGGCAGTGCAGAGCTGGTGAAAACTCCTCCTACTCCTCCTCCTCCTCCTCCTCCTCGCGCCTCGGTCGCCAGCCTGCTCCTCTTCCTTTTCCTCCTCCTCCTCCTCCTCCTCTTCCTCCTCGCGCCTCCTCCTCGCGCCTCGGTCGCCAGCCTGCTCCGGGAGGGCAGCCAGGGCTCGGTCCTCCGGGCCTGGCGCGCCGCGCGGGGGGGGGGCTTTGTCGGCGCTGGGCATGCGGCCGTCGCCGCTGCCGC